ACCAGATCTTCTAAAAAGAAACAAGAAGAAAATCAGGTAAGAGAATTTTGCACTCGTCTTTCATTTTTAATGAAATTACTAAACCCATCTACTGTAAAAAGCCATGAGCAAAAGACTTCAACATCATTCAAATCGTAGTCAGCCAGGAAGACCCTTACCCAGTTCCTGAAATCTGTTAAGGGCCTTTACCTAGGTGATCACTAGTTGAGAGACAGAAGACCATGCAAAATAAAGGATGATAGTTGATTTTTCAGATGGTCTCAAACCCTTTCGCTCACCAGCGCAGATAAACATTTGAGCGCCCAAGGCTGTGGTTGCCTTTCTCTGCTGTGCTCCCTTGCGCTGACAAGCACGAGTTTTCCCAGCGCAAAGATTTATTGCTGCTCAATGGCGTTGCTATGTTCAAGAGGGAAAGAGCTGCAGTGGGAGAAGTTTTCAGAGGGGAAGATCCCCCCACTAATGAATGTTCCTATGTTGAGCTGAAGACTGAGGTTTTACTGGTTTGTGAAACAACTAGACCTTCACCAGAAAGAATCATTACCAACCTCAAAGCAAGACAGCCTTGTTGTGGCAGCTCCTGGAGGCTACGGAGAGGACCAAGCATGACTTTCAAGGAGGCTCCCTGTGCAAAACCACTTTCCTGATGGTGTTAAGACTTTCTTATGGAAAAAACCAGTCTCTTGAAACTGGTAGTGTGGAACACCACAGGTGTTTTGGTCTACACACCCCAGTGAGCTATTTGCTTTGCTAAAGGAAACAGTCATTTATCGTGTCAGCACCAGAGAAAAGCGTTATTACTGTCTTCCTCATCTGAAAAAGTACACCTGCTGGGAACATCAAACAAGCGTAGGTGGCTGTAGTATCACAGTGAAAATTCTTTAGCCCCTAACCAGCAGAAGACAGTCAGGATAAAGCAGGTGCTTAATCAAATGCAGGTCTATTGCCAGGAATATTTTAAATACTTCCTGGAACTAATACATTCCCCATCCTGCCTCAAGCAAGAATATCTCCCTACTGCCTTCTACAAGGCTTGGGTCAGACCCTCAAGCCATACTCCCTCAATTCAATCTCCTGGTTCACCAAGAACGACAAGTCACTGTTACACGGTATGAGCTATGCTCCCAATTTTAAATATGATTTTCACACACTATTGGGCAAAGTCTAGACATTTTCTGCCAGTGAAATTCTCTCCCTGTTGGAGACACTCGGACTTGGAGACAGGTGTTCACCCAAAAAATTTACATCACTAACTTAACAGCTCCTGCTAGACTGTCAAATCAGTTACTGATGGTCAATCCTGTATTCAGGCTGGTGAAGAGCCGGTATCTTTGGAAGAGGTATTTTTACATACTTGCCAAAATGACCACCTTTCCTCCCTCCCCAAAACTACGCCACAGTAGCGAGCGCTCCATCTGACCACAGAACAGGGAGAACAGAGAAGAACTGATCTCAATAGTACAGCCAATGGTAACTTCTTTTGTTTCTTGGAAAATTACAATCCCATCTTAAGATCTGATGTAGCAGGATCCCAACTTGGTTTTGCCTAAAATATCTATTTTTCCTCTGCCTTTTATGTAAAAAGATACTATTACTCAAGTGTTTTCCACTGGGCTTATAATAAAAAGTACCTTTTACAATCAGAAAGTCCCAAACAAGTTTCAAGTTCAAAAGTCTACTGCTGTTCAGCTGAAGATTTCAGAAAGCTCTTGGAACCGTCTTTCAGTTTCAATGATTTATCATATGCTTGGAAGACCTAAACCTTAATACGGTTTACTGCTGCCTTTTAACATAGCTACCGTGTTTAGATGCTACTGTCTTGCTCACTGAGAAAAAGCACATTCTGTCAGTAACCAGACCAAGAGCTTTAGACAAAACTACTACCCTGTAGCAAGTATTTACATAATTCTTAGTGTAATTTAACGTTTTTCAAATTGCTTATACTGTCCTTACGTATGCAACAGGTGACTGATAGGATTGACATTATCCGTGCTCTAGGAAGCTTACAAGCAAAACCTGTAATCCTGTTGCCAATAACATACAAGATTTATATGAAAAAATCAGGCTATAGGAAGGTGAGGTGAACAAAGGTAAGAGCAGCAACAGATTCAGAAATGCTTCTGAACTTCTTGAAAATTTTGAATGTAACTTCTTAAATGTGCAACTAAAAATGTTTGTCCAAATAACTAGCGGGGAGTGGGACGGGGGGCGTGTGTGCTTTGTTTTGGTTTTTTGTTTAGGTGGGGTTGGAGGGGGGGTTGACAAGTAGAAGGAAGCAGGTACAGCTTTACCTACAGAGAGTAAAGATTCTTGGCAGCCCAGAACCTGGGACACATGGCACGCTCTTCCATCCATGCATGGTAGTATGCAGATCAACTCTTTCAGCACACATCCCAAAGGAAGAGCAAACACACCAAGGCATTGTGCCAAAATGGGATTTTGATGAAGAATGCTTACGTGTTGCCAGCTCCCTAACCCACCCAGAGCACAACCCGGGTTTATGCTCAGGGAGTTTCATAAACACACTAATGATCTTTGAGAAAAGAAAAACAGGAAGCCGTCAGCAAGAAGGCCGACAGTCATCAGGCAGAGCACACACCAGGATGAACGCAGGGTTATCATGAATGTTTTTGGGTAGGCACTTATCACGTCGCCCATGCTGGAACACCAACCACCTGTATATGATCCTTACGCCACTTCTACTGACTTGTCTGACGTCCATGGGATTGAAAAGAGATCTCTGTTGCAAAACCCTAGCCTCTCTCACTTGCCTTTAGTGCTTTAAGACCAGACCCCATTCATAACATGGTTTTGGTCAAGTCCACCTCAAGCCTACAAAGAGCTAGAGAGAACTAAAGGAACTGCACTGCATGACTACAAAATAGGTCTCTAACTTCCTCTTATCCAGAGACTACAACAGTATACAGAGTCTACATCGTATTTTTAAGTTGTTACAGAGAAGGGAGTCCAACAGAAAACTATAAGGAGCTGATTTTTAAGCTTTTAACCTCTGAACAAAGAACCTAAAGCATGGAGAGTTCCCCTTCAAACAGGCCTCAGCTAAGTCGAAGTTTAGAAGCTGATGTTTCCGCTGCGACATTTTAAATGTTATTCTCAATATTAGAGGAAGGTGGGGGGTTTTGTTCAGTTTTGTTTAACTACCACAAGCACCAAAGGTCAATACTGAAACTGAGGTTGGAGACAGCATTGATGAAAAGGAAATGAGGATGGGGAAGTGTGAACTCTAGAATAAAACAAGTCAACTCTTCAACTCCCAGATAATAAAAAGTCCTGTCCACTCCAACACCTCTGGCAGGACAGGAACAGCAGGGAATGTTTGTGGTTTCAGCTGACCATACAGCTCATTCCTGTCATTTCCAGAAGAACCACATGTACACAACCGTAACTTCCCGATGACTGTAGCAGTACATCCCATCCGAGTGCCCAGCACTTCATGTGTGTACCAGGGGAACTGCGATCCCTCCACAGTGTCAGCAGAGTAGCCCAGAAATTCAGTCTTATTTAGCAGTACCTGGAATTAAGTACCTACCTCCAAATAGGGAGCTTTTATGCTGTCACCTCATTTTTGAACATCCACATTTTCAAGTTTTAGCTTAAAAATATAAACAGGTAATTTCATCCATCTGAAGATACTGGATACATTTTTAAAAGCACTAAGGCATATTGAAATCAGAAACTTGAAACCTTTTGGATGTATTTATTTTTTAACCCTTTATTCTGAAGACTCTTTGGCCACCTACGCAAATTGATTATTTACTTCCATACACTACTCTCATAAACGTTCAGTTCTTTACCTGTTGCGAGCACATTCACCAGAAATAGGGTGTTTGTTTTTAAACGTGAAGTTCAGTAAGTCCCACAGGTGGTTGGAGGCTCGCTGAAGCCTGGGAATGTCTGCTGAGTCTTCATGCTGTTGAATCACTTTTATCACCTCTCCCATAGGAGGACCTCTGGTGTTCAGCAGGAATCCAGCTTCTTCTCAAGAATGGAAGTTTTTTTTCCCTTTCTATGACTGCCATTTCCTAAAAGCAGCAAGAACTTAAGTGCTTTAGCATCTCCACTTCCTTGTCAAATTTGGCCAATGTTTTTTGCATGTTAAAAATGTGCCGTGGAAAAGAAGAACTGAGGGCAGTATGGCAGTGCAAACCTTGTTTCTTTAACAAAGCAGGCTAAAAGTAGGAAGAGCTAAAGAAAACCTACTGCCTCAGCAGCACTACCCCAAATGCATCATATCCTGGTCTAGTACAGTTCTTTGGAGTCGTCTTATGCCCAGACCGAAGGCAGAAACTTTCTTGATGGGAACAGTGAGCAGTCCTCAGGCCCAGGGCCCCCGGACAGACTCCCAAGAGTAGGTTTCCTGTTTATTTCTCCGGGACAGCGGGCCCCGCACTCTTGCTCAGGCCCTGCAAGGACTGCACAGGCCCCTGCAAGTCCCCAGTGGCTTAGAAACGTTTTGTCAGGAGACAGTTACGGAAACGCTGGATTTCTAGTTCCATGCTTTGAAGCACACAAAAGTTAGAAAGGAGAGATTCAACAAAAGGCAGCGTCTTGGCCAAATACACTTAACTTAATCTTTAACAAGCCGAAGACAGGGTAGATGCTGCTGGAAGGCACATTCCTGTATACAATACCCTCACTATCCTTGCTCAGCTTGGGTCTGGATATTCTAGGCATCTTGGCTGGCCCGCTTAGTCAGAATTTTCTGCCATGGGGTAAACAGCTGCTTTTGTTCCTTCAGTACCAGCCTTCCCATAGAAGCATCTTAATCAGAAGTTCGCTTTCTGCATACAGTCCATTCAAACGCACAAGCCAGGCACAGCTACTGGCCCTCCAGGGCACAGTAATTTGCAGCGACTGTTCTTGGCTGCCTTGAATTTCAGTCTTTGTCCTGCAGATCACATTCCAATGAGAGGTATCAAGCTACAAAAATCTTATTACATACTACAATCAGACACTAAAGCAAATATTACAGAAAAAACACAATCACAAAAGTTAAATTTATTCATCAAAGCAGACTGCCTCCGAGCCATCACACATTCCATGGAAGGGAAGAAAAGACAAATACTATTCCCCATGTCTCCCCTCCCCTCCTAACAATGCGAGATCTCTCCTCCTCTGGAGAGAAAGAGGACATACATGTTCTTAAAATGTATGCATACTGGCTAACACTGTTTAAATGGCAAGGTCTTGTATATCAGAGCAAGCCAGACATTTAAAAGCCTGCCAACTTTCACTAGGACCCAGGCTCTGATAACATCACCTGCATTCCTCTGTAGATGAAGAGTTACTAACTGACCTACTTCTGCCACAACACCTGAAAATTAATCCCATCTAGGCATTGGCAAATACAATGCAAGTTACAAATTCTGTTTTTCTGCTAATTCTGCTAGTGACTATTTTCTTCTTTCTTACCCACCCAACATAACCTGCCTGACATCATAGCAGCTGGACCCCCCTGACACTACACAGGCACAGAAGTATCAAGTGAATCTCAGTTTTGAGAGGCATCCTCCAGCAATGCCACAATGCCAAGTTATCTGTGTAAATGAGCGAGCGAGCAAGTGCTATTGATTTAGTATGGTGCAGCACTTCCATCGCCCTTGCAAGCGGCACAGCAGTGCCTTTAACCACTGCTGCACAGTGGTGCCAGCAGAGCAGACAGGACTAAGCCAACCAGAAGCACTTAATTTTAAAGGAAGGAAATAGAGTTTTAAGTATTCATATACAAATGGTATCTTTCTGGAAGGGGTGTGCACAGCACATTTCTGTCTCCCCAGGTCTTCTATCACACTCATTACCATAGCATCTGAAAGTGCTGAAAGATAAATACAACCCCCTTGTAGAAAGGAGGTACGTCCTGCACATCTCTTCACAGTGGAGAAGGGCAATTCACTTGTTAGTGCATGCTTATGTTTCCAAAAAGCTTTAGACAACATTCCTTATTGGAGACTCAAACCATTTCACTAACGTGAAATACTTTATTGAAACAACCTTTTTGGAATCAAGGCTTACTCCAACGGTCATATACTGGGCATTCATAGAAACATAAGGCCAAGCTGCCAACAGAAGGCAACTGCTTTTATCCAGTAACTGCACATCCATTTGAGAGACTGTTGGAAATGCTGGTAGAAAACATATTTTAGTTCCCCTCTCTCTTCTCCTCGTCCTTCATCTGTACTTGGACCTTTCTTTGTCTTTTGATCTCTTAGGACTTCTGCTTCTGTCTGCTTTTTTATCCCAGTCTCTTATTTGGAAGTCGTCTTTGTATTTGTCTCTCTGTTTGCTGTAAGTGTAGTCTCTCTCTTGAGATCGGCTGCGACTCCGATGCCTGTCTTTCTTGACACTCTTTATCTTCTCTCTACAGCGTTCTCCTTCATGTTTTCGATCAGAATCCTGTCAAAGGAATTGGATAGATATGCAGTTACAGACAAAAGGGGAAAATATACAAAGACATGAAGAGAACTAGAAAAGAGTCAAGCATGGTTGGTTCCTTAGCTAAGGCTGGTACTACCTGAAATAGATTCACATCCATGATGATTTGAAAGAGATAACACATAAAAAACCCCACTGTGACTATATGAAGAAGATAAGTCTACAGTTTTTGTCAGCATTTATGGAAAAAAGCATGGCTGCCAGGCATGCTGCTGCTTGTATTTCCTAAGGAGCTTTAGCAAAAACTGGTTATATCAGGCATTCAACTCAGATGGCTATTATCAAACTCTTCATAAGCATCACACAAGCTTCTAAGCTAGATTCGATTTTGAATTCTTATCTAAGCAATGGAAGTATTTCGATCATAGGTTTTGGTTCAAGCCCCACAGGCATTCCAGTGCTATGAAGACAAAGAACACTTTTTAAGACCTGCCTGTAATAATACTTAATGGCCTAAATTCTAGGCTTTGGAAAAACAAACAACACCGTTACAAAGACCAAAACTACACACACACACATGCAAACTACTCCACTTCCTTGAAGCTAGAAGTCCACAAGAAAAGGCAACATGGAAAATCTGATCCTTTTAAATGTACAGTCAAACAATAACGAGGTAATGAAAAATTAGTTGTATTTTGCAGGCTGATGGGTATGACCCATACAGAAAACACATGAGGATACGCTCATACACAGACACAGTAAACTCTAAGGGGTACAGGTCTATCTAATTTCAAATGGCCTAAAAAGGAGAAACCAACAGTACCACTACAAGTGGTAATGATGTTTCAGCACACACACAAAAACTCTTTAAAAAAAAAAAAAAAGCTGCAAGTTCAGGGAGCCAAAAATGAGGAAATTTTGAATTTCCCTGGCTTTCTGCATATCGTCACCAAGAATGCTGACTGAGTGGCCCAGCGCACAGAACAGATGTGCTCTGGAGAGAAATTAGGTTTATGTAACAAAGGAGGAATCGCTGTCAGTAAAACACCTGCTTCACTTGTTGCACTAGGCAGACAGCATAAAAACACTGAGATGGTGTATTAGTAAATGAAGGAAAGATGGCTTAATCACCCAGATTGTGAAATGTCACACTAACAAGATTACGGCACAGCACATGCTAGAATGACTATGTGGAGACACCAACACCCATAGAGACCACAGCATCATAGCAATTTTAAAAGTAAAAAAAAAGATCACTTAGAAAGTGGCCATTTCATTTCAAGGAACTCTATAAAGATTTTCTTAATACACAACACTGAGTTTTGACATGTGAACTCCTAACATTTTCAAGCACTGCTAAAAACCATTTTGATCTTACTATTCAACTAAGATATACAGTGAAACAAAATACAAGAGGAGCTTCAGAATCCTGCAGAAAGATACATATATAACTTGCTATTAAGAAGGTGGTTGGCACTTTTATTTTGAAGGTACGATCACTTGAAAGTTTAGTATCCCTATATGCTCTAGTAGACCAATACCATTTTACGGGATTTTAATAGGATTTTAATAACGCCACTATTAAACACAGATCATTATGAACTATGAAAAATGTCTGCATTAAATTATACAGTATTTCTTAATTTCAGATACAGATTTCATTTTTCTAAATATGTATTCGCGACAGTAGCATTCACAATTGTATGGCTAAAACCTATACTGCATGTACAAACAAATAAACTTTATTTATTTAAAAGAATAGTGCAAAAAACTCTACTCGAAGCAGAGCTTTTATCCAGAAAGGCAGTAATCAGGATGGTTCCCAGAGCAAACTCCCAGAGCAAACACCACCTTTAGAATTATGTAGATAATGCTGAAATACTAGAGGTAAAATAAGCAACATAAAACCCCTGGACCAACACACACATCAATAATCACAGAGTTGATCTTTATCTACATAATAAAAAAATTCTGCTACTGCTTGGTACAGTAATCTCACTGGTGGCCAAATGCTTATTCCACATCTTTACTGTCAAACTCTATTTCAGTACAGATTTTAAAATCTGAATCCATCAAAAAGGAGTGGTGATTCCAGCTATTTATAAGAGGTTTGTCCCTTCATCTTCAGAACGATGCACAGCCATATTACTCTTGTACCCAAAAGCCTCAGTCTCCATCTGTTTGAACAAGACGACAGGTCTCAAGCCCCTCTGTGGCAGGGCCTGAGTAAACATCAGAAGATAGACAGACTGGTGGTGGAGTGGAGAGGAACAAGACAAAAATATTGGCCAGAAAAACAGACAGTGGGCTTGGTGCACTCCTGCCTTCTAGCTGGTTTGTTGCTGAAGTTTCCTACCCGCGCAAGGAGAAACAGGAGAAAAGCAGAACGGCACTCAGCTGAAAAATCTACCAGGCCAACACTGGAGACATGCTACTGGCCAAGTCAGGGCAGGGAACAGGTTAGCGAAGACTTGAAAGTGAAGACAAACAGCCTACGTTGAATGCCACAGAAAAGGGCAACTTGCTGAAAGGACTAAAAAAAGTCATATGAGTATGGAGCCAGCTAAGCACAATGACCTTCACAGAAGCATTTAGGGTATAGGTGTACAGGGCAAGTCTGAAAGTGCCACAAAAAGGTCATCACAGTAGCTAATATGATCACAGTGTAAAGAAAAAAAATGTACTAATTTGAATTAATAGAATGAACTGCAACTTAGTTCCCCCAAAAAATCGGTTATGTTTCCCCTTAAATAAGATTTTACCTTTTTAAAGTCTTTGGCACAGAAAAAAGTCAATTTTTTTAAACACTCTAAGTTACTAAAAGTAATGGTATTTTGAAATCAAATCTTTTATGCCCTATCCAAGTCAGCAACATGCTCTTTTCCCGTTGGAAGAGGAAGAAAGATTCCTACTTAAAAACAGGCTCTCTCTTACTGCTGAAGTCCAGATTTCTCAATCCAGGATCACAGCCTCTTATCAGTCAATGAGTAAGTGATGATCATCCCAGTTCTTAATTCAGCACTGTGTTGGTGAACACACATGAGGAAGGAAATATGAAAAGAGGGAAAAACACTTCTCTTCAAGTTCATGGCTGGCTTTGCCAAAAGTAGTAACTTGCCAAACTGCACTTGCAGGTAAATCAGCTAGAAATACCATGATCACAAAAGCAGAACAATATACCACCCTCTACATACATTAAGTACACTAGTTAAAGGTTAAAAGGAGCAAACAAATAGAGACAGACTTTTCAGGAGGAAGATTTTGATCAAACTTGACCCTGAATATAAAGAGAACAGTGTCCAATAAGCAGAAAAAGCAGGAAATTAAAACCAGAAAAATCAGTATCTTTGCCAAAACCATGCACTACAGAAACCTGAAAGTCAGGAAGCCCCTACGTCTCACAAAAATCCATTGGATAGGCTATACTCCTCCACTGATCCAGTTATCTTAAAAAAAATTTTTTAAAAAATCAAAAAATCCAAGCAACCAAAAACCAGAGAGAAAACTGGAAAGGGAACAAAGTCATGATACAGATCTCAAGCAGAAGCATGACCTGTATTCAAAAAAACCTCTACCAAATCCTATTCACAAACCCACATGGTAGTGCAGCCTCCTGCTCCAGACCCACATCCTGTTACCTACTAAAAGCAAGCCACAACGCCCTACCTCTTCTACCCTCTGGAATCAAGTCAAACAGCACAAGATTCAAAAATACATTCTTAAAACATCAACACAGAAACTGAAGATTCAGGAAACGGGTGTCAGACTAAGAAAAGGATGAGTCAAAATACACTAAAGAAAAAAAAAGAAAAACCAAAACAGCAAGAGAACCGAAAAACAACTCAACATCATGGAAACTATTCAGAAAATAAAACCCCTTCAGTCATAGCTGGAGCTGGTAGCACAAACTGCAGTTTCAGTTGCCAGAACCTCCCATTATAAGACCCTGTTCTCCGTTAATTAAAATCTCTGCCACACTAGTGGCTCAGGGTGGAAGTTTATGTATGAAGCATGGCCATTGTGGTCTTTGGCCAATTAGTTGTGGAAGGTATGCTGTTGTTTTGTTTTAAACTTCTTGCCTCAAATATATTTTAGTATTTCCAAAATAGGGTTAAGGGAAAATGCTTTGTTTGCCTATAGTAAAAATGCTACCATTCATCAAAAAAGTTTCCATACTGTTATGCTTTGTGCTGGTCTCGGTATTCACACTGAACATACTCTGCCTCAAGAACATGCCTCCTTCCCCTGTTCTTGTACGAGTTCCCCAGATGATGCCCAAATTATAAATAAAATTTTAAAAAATTAAATTTTATATATGCTAAACAGGATTTGTCAGCTAAGCTGCCTGCAGATTTGCCCAGACACTTACTGAATCTCTAAATCAGACTGAGTACATACTGCTCAGTATGTACATACTATACAGTACACACTTACAAGAATATTCAAGTACAGACACAGAAAAACATTCTTCCCATAAATTCAGTTTCACAGCTCCAAGAGGGAACTATGCTGCTTGCCATCAGAGAATAGAAGTAAGCCTCCACCTGTGATTTTGGGCATAAGAAGGCTAAGCTATTTACACCAAAACAGGTAAAGGTAAACAACAGAGAGGAAAGCAGTGAGAAGGAAGAACATACCAGAATACAGCAGCAATAGACTACAGGAACAAACCACAATAGGAACAGGTGACTAAATCACAAAAAGATATACAGAGACACAGAAGAGATCACAGAGTCAAGCACTAGAAAATACTGTTTTCCAGAACCTGGAAATAGCACCAGGAATCCCTCTGTCCTCACATTTTTGTGCTATGAAATCCACTGCTAATGTGTCTTGTGGTCCCCTTTTAAGAATTATAACATACAGAGGTTAACAGCCTGTTGCTGCCAGTGCCTGTTGTACCACCTGCAGGGGTGGAGACATCTGACTGATTTTAAAATGTTCTCTGCTAATAATGCATGACCAGCCAGTTCCACACGTGTAATTTATGAACCATCAAGAACAAAGACTACTTCCAGAAACATCTGTTTCAATAATGTTAAAGCAACAACGTCAATCAGCCAAAAAAACAGGAGGAAGACTAAACCAACATTATTTCAGACCTCTTGTATGTATACGCTTCAATTGAGACTTTAATTATCTGAACAGGTCCCTCCCTTCCACCCAAAGGATCCCAACTGAATTTGTATACAAACAGCGACAAAAAGACTTGTACCACAAATGAGCAATAGGGCTTACTGGTGACACTGAAATAAGTTAACTGCTAACGTTCATGAGAAAAGCTATTTTTAGCATCACAGCAAGAAGTGATGCAATGGAACAACCAAATCATGTATGCTCTCTGTACACAGAACTTAAAGCAGTACTCAAAACTCATGCCAGGACAATGGCTTTATTTACTGTGGTTGGAACCTCGTCACTTTCTGCAAAATTGCTAGAAGGCAGCTTTGTTCCCACTCATAAAGCTTGCATTGTTAAAATATTGGGTTTGGGGGGTTTTTCTTCAGCTTAGCTCAATTGTCCCTAATGCTCACACTTCAATGGTGGTTAACCCTCCACTTTATCATTGCAGACATTGCTTCCATGAAACATCAACATCTTGAATACGCCAAGTTCACAGAAACACGAGAATGCTAACCTGACAGGCTGCAGTGGAACTAATTGACAGAACTACTGTCTTCTGACAACCTCCTCCACAGTCTGAGTCTTACAGCACTGTATGCTTGCACAATACAGATGCAAGCAAACCTGCACACAGATTCTACAAACACGCTTCTAAAACAGTTAAGGAAAAATAAAAAAAGATAATGCAAAGAGATTGTGTTTCTGATTCCATATGGGAAAAAGCCAACACATTCTGGTCTGACAAAAAAAATGAGAAATAGTCTGCATTCATGAAATATGATTAACTACTAGTTTATGACTGGGAATATGCGAACAACAGGTTCAAACTGCTGACGATCTCCTACTTCATGAGAGGCTACATTGCCTCTTCAGGATGTTTTGACAAAAAGCCATTCAGACATGCCCCAAGCTTCAAAAGTCCAGGAAGATTTGGGAAGCCTCTTTCATAATCAGATACTAACATCAGCCTTCTGTTATGTTAACAACTGCTGTATTGTACGGGACTTTGCACGCCATGTCCTCAGTTCAATATCACCTTTTTTTCCTGGCTTCCCTTATTAGGAGAAAAATAAACAGGTATAAAGTTAATGCATTAAGAGGTTAGTACCTTAGATTTTTTGGTTCTCTTGTCATCCTCTTCATCTTCAGAGTGGTGGTGCTTTTTCTTCTTTTGTTTTTTAGCCAAGTGTGACTGACTTGTTTGAGACTCTTCTACATCCTCATCCAGCACAAGGTCATACTTGGCACTGATGGTGTTGGTTAAGGACAGATCCGTTACTTAATATCAATAAATAGCAGAACATAAAAGCTCACAAAGCAAACCAACCCCTGTTTATCAGACCAGGGTTTACCAAGACTTACTATGTATTTCAGTCAGAACAGGATCATACACACTGAAAAAAATCAGCTGTGCTAAAATGACTGAATTCTGTCCTGTCAAACAGTACAGCCAGGTCCCAATTCTCCTTTCTTTTCTACCTGTGGATATCCGAACAAGCTATGGTCTTCTCTCATGCTCACCACAAGCAAAGTGGAATCGCAGAGCGTGATTTAGTTACTGCTATCGCCTCCTTTTGGATGCAGCAGATCCCTTGTGAAATTACTTGAAACTCTGTTATGCCACATGTCATTCCAGGGCTCTGGACTGGGAACATTATTTACCTGCACACAACATGGAAGTGAAACAGCATATTCTGATTTGACTAAATTCATCGAAGTCATCAGATGAAAAACGCAGAATGCTTAGTTCCATCTCAAACACCAAATGGTTACATGAAGCAGCAGCAAAACACCCATTTGGCAAGCTTTAAGAAGAAGTCATCTTTTCCAGGCTGTTTTCATAAACTGTACTTAGTGCAAAAAACACCTTTGACCAGAAAAGGATACTCCTGCTTTGGTTTTACCTTCTCTTTCAGAGCAAGTTTTGAAGGTTTGTCACGTTCCTTCTCGTACTCTTTGAAATCGTCCTTGGTATACCGCCCACCTGTCCACAGAAAAATATATTCAATTCACTCCAACTAAAACAAAACCAAGATCCACACCTACCACTAAGTTCTGCTTATGAATTTAAGGGCTCTTCATAACCATACAGAGATTCATAGCAGGATACAGTTCCAGAAACCACATTGACAGCTGGGTAACATTGTAGAAGAGAGTAGGACAAGTTGTGATTTTCTGTCCTTCTCTTGCTTGCAGATCCCATTAAACAACATCTGGCTTTCTCCTCACTCATGTCCAGTGGAGACAACGCATGAACAGGATCACAAAGCAGGATTTAGCAACTAGTCCCACTTTGATTACAGGTCCTATGTCACATTACTTAAAAATTCTGTTACCATGAAAGCCTACAGACTATTCTCATTATTAAATGACTTTTTGCTCTGGGCTGCACAAAGGGAAACCTCTGAGACAGCTACAGCTTAGAAATTCAAATAGAAAACTATAAAAAAATTGTCTTGATTTAAAGAAGGGCATGACAGATTGCATTTTCCATCCATTCACTTGAAAGTATCAGCTCACAGATTAATAAACTATTCTACAGCAACGTGCTGCCATCTCACGGTCAGACTTAAAACTGCAATATTAACTGGCTAGGTCAGAAATGGCTACTGAAGGTGGAAGGACAATACTTCCCCTAGGTCATCTTTTGGGTAGCATATAAGCACAACAAGATGACAATATAGCTAGCTTTCCAATATTTAGGACAATTTAGACCTAAGTTACCCAGATCAAGAAAAGTTTTCCATGTAGTCAGTTAGTACAGGATGCACTGCAGAGCACGGTATGGATTACAGTCATCTCAGCTCTGTACAGGACAAGTTCTAGTACCTCAGTGTCCATGACTAGTCCCCAACCTGGAGAAACTGTTGAGGGCTGACTGCATTTTTAGGCAAAGACACATGAGAACATTACCACTGCAACGCACAGTCACCTCTCCAAGTCCAGTGTTTTCCTCACGTCCCCAACAACCAAATAACCACTGCATCCACCTCTCCCACCATCTTCTTTCTCCCAAAACATCCTCAAACATGTGGATTTGGGTTTTGTAACATACAGCCTGATATGCAATATGCTTGACCTACAATAGGTGAAGAGGGGAAATCCCTGGCCTGAACACTGACTTTTTCTTATATACACCCAACTGTCACACAATGAATAAAGAAAAGAAACTAGAAAGTAACAATGTACTGCCATACTATTTTGCTAATAAGTAATATCAAAAAACATCACTTTTAAAGCTTGAGAGAAATAAATGATTTACTGGCAAAAATACATCTGATAAAAAGGCAATCCATGGCAATGTAATGTTAATATAACAGTAGTAAACCCTTCTACTCTTTCATATGGAATAAGCGAAGAGAAGAGCTAGCAACTGTGTTGCTCTATTTACTACAGTACTAGGAAAATACATATCCTTGAAGACGAGATGATTTAAGCTCGTAACAATTGCCTCTCTTTATATAATACTTACAGTTTAGAAGTCATGGCTTATTAAGTTATGAGGGTTAAAGAATCGCAAGTGTACCTACCTTTTCCCTGCCACTTAATCTTTGCAACAGACTGGCTAAAATCCACATGTATCCGTCTGTCATCTATCAGCACATTGTCCATTTTGAAGTAGGCTTTCTCACAGTCTTCCTCCTGATATTAATGTTTATGGAAAATTTTGAGTCATGTTTATTTCATAGAAATATTCACTGAAGAGCTCAAATACAAATTCAACTGCTTAATGGCATACATTTTTTTCTAAAATTGTGTAAAGCACAGCAGTTCTTGTATTGTGCCATTTCAAAAGAAATAGTTATGCTTTGTCCGAATGTAAACATTTCAAATTCCATTTCTTCAGTTCTTTTCACTATTTTAAAAATCTGCCAATTCAGCTATGTGTTTGGCACGTGTAATACATTCAGAAAAACAAGGCAAAAAAAGGACAACTAATAAAAGCTCCATTTTAAGTACCTCAGTAGGCTAAAGAAAAGTGAAAACACTTTTCCAGTTTTCCTCACAGATTAGAGAAATTAGCAGATACAAACAAGAAACTATGCACCATCAAAAGAACTTTTACTGTCAATCTCACAGTAAGAGCAGCATGTTGATAAAACAAGCATCATTTACAAGCCCAATATAGGACACTACTGTACACACCGATCAACCCTCTTTCATACACCCTCCTCTCTCTATGCAGCATGCCTCCTTTTTCTCCTAGCATTCCCTTCTTTAACTCTTCAAAGTCCTAATGTGCTCTGGGGAAAAAAAGGGACCTGCTTTCCTCCCACTGGTTTCAAGAAAACCTAAGAAGAATGTATTCGTAATCCTTGGTTGAATAGAGAAAGACTTAAACGTTTGCTTCATTTAGGACCTACAACTTCTATAACTAAGTCAGTAAAAGAAAATATTAGCTACCCCACACTTGAAGATTTCACTGTTTTTCCTTAATGGAAGTATGCCGAAAATTAAGTTTTATAAGCAGAATCTACATATAGTATACCTAAATAACATACCTTTTCAAACTCAATGAAAGCATAACAAAGAGATTCACCAGTCTTCCAGTCTCGAATCACTTCACAGCTAAAAAATTGATATGAAATTAAAATGTCAATGCTGTTGGAGCAAAAAACGTAGGATAGGCAAGCACTGCTTAAAATAACAGTTAAAAAAAAAAAACACAACAAAAACCTTGATGGTATTGTAACACTTGATTCCGAGTCCCCTACTGATATGGGGGTGTCTGCACAGAAAAAAATGCATGTGGCATTACTTGAGTAATTATTACACTTAACTCACAAGTGGTTAATATGAAGCGTAGAACTAGGGATGAATTTCTGATTAATGAAACAAAACCTGTTTTCCAACACTACTGGTTGTTATTGATTTTTTGCATTTCACTAATGCAAGACAAGAAATTTCACATTCTGTTTTCTCAGTCATTTTAAGGAAAGTTTAAACAGACATCATGTGACAAACTTTCGCTTCTTAGCAAGCACCTCTTTAGCAACCATCTTCTTATCAGGCAGTTCACTGGGCAAAAATAAGAAGCCTAAAGTATTGAATCAGTAGACGCAAAATGGGAATGATACAGCATTGCATCAGTATTACCAAACTCTTGTATATGACATGAGAATTCTGACTACAGCATGTTAAAGGAGGTTAGACAGGCAACAAGGGCAGGAAATGTGGTATTAAGGTGAGACCTCCCCCATGTGTACTGAGGAACTGACAAATCAGGATTAGGATACACAATCCAAAAGGTGATCAAGACACACACACACACCCCCCCCAAAAAAAAAGGAAAAAAAAAAAAAGGAGAAGACAAGGCTATTCAGACAAGCTATATGAATTCTTTGCAGCAGCCACCAGCAAGGAAGAAGGTAGGACAATCTTGTGCCAGAACCCTCCTTTGTGGATTATTCAGAGCATCTATCTGAAAGCAGAAGGACTGCAGAGGAGGTACTGAACAAACTGATAGCAAAAAAAAGTTTGAGAAATCCCTAGGACATCCAGAAATCATGCTGGAGTTGTAAGAGTGGCAAACACAATGCCAATTTCACTCACACACACAGACACACACAGACAGTCTAGTGAAGGATCCAGGAGTCTGCAGGCCTGTATGCCAGTACTGCACAAACTGCTAGAAACTCAACGCAGAACAGAGTTAGCGTGCATCTGAATAAACAGGACCTACTCAGGATCATTTGAATAAAACCTAAGTGAAGTTCTCGGAAAGAGTCAATACGCTTATGCATGATGATGATCTATTTGATGCAGTCTTTTGAAATCCCCCTGGAAATTCTAGTAAACTCCTGCACCAAAGGCTTTTGGGGAAACTAAGCAGCAATGTCGTAAGAAGCATCTTTGCATTGATAAACATGTGAAAGACCAGGTAAGAGTAAATGGTAATTTCTCACTGAGAAAGTAAAGAGGTCACCAGTGGAGTTTGCTAATGATACTAAATTGTTAAAGGTGGCAAAAATAAAGACTGAAAAAATTGCAGAAAGTCCTTAGGAGACCAACTGAACAACAAGATAGCAAATGACATTCAACGTAGATAAATGCAACAAGATGAACACAGTGGGGGGAATCCTAATTGTGCATTGTAAAAAAAAAACCAAAAACAAAAAAAAAACTTTAGCATTAACTAGAAAAGGAGTTGAGAGCAAAACAGAGAATACCACTGTGCCACTGTAAATCTGTAATTTCTTTAATACTGTGTGCAGTTCTGGTCCTCTCGAGATGAAAACAAAAGAACAGAAAAAGGTTGAGAAAAGGGAAACAAGGTAAGGAAAATTCCTCTACAAAGCATGACTATGTAGGCTAGCACTCTTAGCAAGAAGAAAGGATGAGTTTGGGGTACAGGACAGAGAGATGTAGGAAAGTAGGTTTCACTGCCCATCATGTCTTTTGATACCAGTACTAGGAGGAATCAACTGAAACTAGGAGCCAAGTTCAAAACTGAAAAAGGCAGCAGGCATGAGGAACACCTTAACGAGGAGTATATTGGATGCCAAAAGTGTTTGTCACTTTATCTCAAAACCATACATATTCCCATGGAAAAGAAAAACCCAGAGACTGTATCTAGCTCATGTAGCATCTGAGATAAAACTGCTGAAAGGAAGGAGAGGATGCGGGGCTGGGGGAAGTATCATATGCTTTCCTTGTTCCTACACTTCCCTAGGCTTTCACTTACAGCCACCGCTGGGACAGGATACTCATCTAGCTAGATCTGACTTTGCACCACCATTGTTGTGGTCTCTATCCAAATACATGCAGGCACAGGATAGATCTCCAGAGATGCCGGAATACTACTTAACAGCCAAACCTAAAGAGACTGGCTGGAATCAAGTTCAGTTTCAACAAAGAAGGTTTTCTTTTTTTATTTTACAATAATTACCTTTTAATGGGACCAAATCTTGAAAATATGATCTCTAGGTCTTCATCCGTGGTCACAGGATTCAGCTTACATACAAACAGCACGTTTTCTGGTGGCTTGACCTCTGCATCTGGTAAGTCTCCCACCTGTGGCATACAGAAGATGACTTTCATCACTTCTGCCTAAAGCTCTCTACATTTTATTGCCACAAGCACACTGGCAACACATCTTTTGGATGATCTCAGACAAATTCCTATCACAAAATCAAAACTTAATAAAATATTTTTCCTACTCAATGTCACAAAAAAAAAGTGTTTTCCATTTAAAAATTATTATCTATTTGCAATTTCACCACTGGGACTTCATGAAAGTCACAAATACTTTCTACCTTGCTTTCCCTGTTCATAACATAACAAATACACAGTTCTAAAAGGTGAAAGTGTAGTTTTAGAGCCACTCTGCTATAAAAATAAAAACGGACTGGATCCATTCCTTAGTTGCTGTACCCAAGATAAACTTTCCTTTCCCTGAAATCTGGCAACAGCTAGAATAAGCTTCAATTTAAGATAGGTTGATAAGGATAAGAAGTTACAATTATACAACTTTGTTCAGATTGACAGAAGGGAGAAAGCATTCATGCTTACTAAGAAACAACACTTGCTTACAGCACACACAACTTCAATGTTTGCAACATTTGATCAAAATTCCCATCCTCAAACTAGCAAGTTAAATTACAGAGGAAAATGCAAATACACACACCCCCTCCTGTTGAATTGTAGCACTTTTTAAAACCTAAACAAAAGACTACTGATATTTAAACAATTTATCTCCATCTTTTACTTAATATGCTAATAAAAAGGTAATGCATATTAGTTTGATAGCAGAAAGAAGCAAAATAACACAAATAAGAAGCAGATTCCACAAAAGAGAACACAAAAGGAGTTTAAGCACATGACACTCTTAAAGAAGTTTACTGTTTCAACAAAAGAACAATGGAACTAAGTTGAGGTTTTCCAAATCAGTGAAACTAGCAGTACACTTAGTTTTTCATCACTTCAGCTTATATAACATAGCTCCCTATTGCATACTACCCAGCAATACCCACAGAAGATTACTGCATTGGCTCACATAACCCACTTGCCTTTTTTAGCTAACCTTAACTTTATCTGGAAAACAGGTTATTAGTCCCACTGCTGCTGCAAAACAAGAGCCCACACCTGCAGATCTTCTGCACCACTGTGGCCACATCTAGACTGACCTTGATATTAGCCTCCGCTATTCACCGTAAATTTGAATTTGGTAGTTGTAAAGAAGTGTGATGGATTCACCCATCCTTCAACAGTGTGTGTGCTTTTTTTCTTTAAAAAAAAAAAAAAGAGCGCCTTCAAAGCCTATTCACAATTTTTGTTACTATATGGAGTTTACAACTGCCAGCAGTTACCAAACATTATATTTAAGAAGGAAGAACATAAAGTTAACCAATGTTAAATTCAACTAATCCCGCAGAAGGAAGACAACTATTACATATATGAATGATGCAATCTCAATGCCACTATATGCACTGGGAAGAGATTATCTCAAATTATCTCAGCTCTCTCCCACACATGCTAAACCTTCTCCAGGATTAAAGATATTTATAGGCGATAAAGATATTGTCATAGGCGATTCCCTTCTGAGGGGACGCTGCTGGTACAGGCTGGCAGTGATGAGGTTGCAGAAAGAAGTCCAGAAGCGATCAAAAGGGACTTCAGGGCACTGGGGTGACTGGTTG